GTTCTAGTTTTATTGCCTGCATAAGCAAAATCAGATAGATACCAAAACCACAAGCATTCTACCCTCCAGATTAAAAGTGATGTTGCTACCATATTAATGGCTCATCTGAAACAAGAGTGATGGGGTTGCTTCTTGTTTGGGCATTCCACAAATGCCACATGTAGCAGTGATTTCAGCCCTAGCTGAGTGGTATCCAGGGAAAATCCTTGCTCCTAGTGTAGGTAAGCTCAAACTACTTTGATATTTCATTTTGTTTACATGTTTCATATCAGTCTCCAAAGTGAAAAATCTCTTAAGGAAGTTGATACAGAATGACAAAGCAGATACTAAACAAGGATAGGAAATATCAACATGCCGTGTTTTAAAAGTGCTAAGCATAAAATGCTCCATTCAAGATTAAATTCAGAAAAATACAACAACAGGGCTATCTCCTAACCTTATGAGTGTCGGGGTTAACAACAGGTTTGTTGAAAGGAAGTAAGAAGATGGAAGATGGGAAGTACAAAAACAGACTTCCTGGACTTTCTGCAAGTCACTGTGACTCTGCTTTAGCCAGATCATCATGACTCGGCAAAAGCTGTATAAGCATGACTTTGCTATTTTGCAGCCAATTCTGATGTATGTAAACATGAGACCACCAATAGTAGATTGACATGTGTATGACCTGATGTATGTTTACATGAAGGCACCAATAGTAAGTTGACATGTGTGTTGTGTAAAAAATATAAATGTCTGCAACCTGTTGCAATAAAAATCTTCCAACCTTTTTGCTATCCTGTCCCTACTTTGGAAGAAGATTCTATGTCACTTTGGTCGTCTCAACTTAACAGCGACATTTGGTGCCGCCGACGTGATTGCTGCGCTGAAGAAGATTTATCTCCGAGAGAGAGTTCGAAGGGATTTTTTCTCCAAGAGAGAAAGATTTTGAAGATTCCTCTCTGAGAGGGAGTTTTGCAGTAACTTCTCTCCTAGAGAAAGAGCAGCGATTTCCCTCCTAGAGAGAGAGGACTCATGGGTCAACGCACGAGGGGGACAGCACCCAGTGAAGCTTTGGGAGAGGTGGGATTCCACTAAAAGATCCGGATCTGAGACTTTATCGACCCCTCATTAGGTAAGCTATCGGGGGAGTGCCACCGGGAACAAAAACTTTTAACAATGGGACAACATATAACTAAAGACAGAAATGTAGTTTTATCTACATGGAAAACCCTCCTTAATCGTAGGAGTGTCAAAGTTAACAGTTTTGAATTACGACATTTACTGTTAAGGTGCTGAAAAAATAAGACTTTGAAACTACTACGTTAAGTTGCATTTCATGTGTCTGCCTGACGCTTGTGAAACTTTGAAAAATTTGGAAGCGTGCAGGGGGCAGCAATCTATGCAATAATTCACATAAGAACCAAACTCTGAGACGCAACTACCTAGAAAGATAAGCAGGCTACCAGTGTACTGAAAACGTAAGCCTCCAAGCCAGAAAAATGTAGAAAAACCTACCAATTCACTCCTGAAGGCAGAAAGAAAAGAAAAACAGTTTTTCCACCAAATGACTCCGATGAGAAATAACTAAGGAAAGAAATTCAAATCAAGACGTATAGGCGAATGGAGAGAGACAGAAAACTAGAAAGCGGGTACGAGCCATCGGCACCCACCTTCTTTTCTTGCTTCTTTGCAGCCTGAATTATCTGTTCTTTGTTCATGTACTAATTGACTGTTTCAGTTTCACAATGTGTGTAGGGCAAAACACATAAGATATGCAAAAGATTAAGTTTAATGTAATGAAAACCTGAAGAAGACAATCCCTGCCACGTACAAGCGGCGGGGGGAAGAGAAGGGGGGGCAGACTAAAAAGCTACCTTCTCACATTTCTGTTAATTCTCGTGTTAACTCTAGTGTCTGTCAAATGTGTTTTTGTGAGCTCACAATGTTATTAATGTTATTGCGTGTGTGTGTATATGTGAAGAAGCGAACAAAGTTTTTTGCCAAAAGAAAAAAGAAAAAGTAAAAAAACCCTCCCTTGCAAAATTCAGCTTTACCAGGGAGAGAAATAAAGTGTATTTCACACAGTAAAGACAATTTGTTGCTTAACAACCAAACAAGAGCCCAAACCTCCCCCAACTGAATCCATGACAAGTTTAAAATACCAATTTCTCGGGGAGCTAGGGAAGAAGTAAAACTCTCCTGCTTTATAGAAACTATAACTTTGTAACCTTCTGATTAAAGAAAGAAATTATCTTACAGATTCATAAGATGGTCTTACTAACTGTTTTTTGAAGTTGTTTATCTAAATAGCCAAAATTGTTTTAAGATACATGCATAAATGTAATAGAGAAGTAGAGTTTTTAAAGTTTTTTTAGTGACTACTGATAAGAAATTCCACAGTGTGTAAGGAGGAGCAGCTTTCCACTGGAGCAAAGCAGAAGTACAGCTGCGCTGTCTTCCCCCTCCTTTCCCCCTGCGCAGACAACTGTGTAAACACTCGTTGCTTCTGTATTTTACAGACAACTTTTTAGAGATTACTAGAGAAGCTTTAAGGTAGACTAATTTAGTAAAATACCTAGCTCCAAAATATCATATTTGACGAAGGCAGTTTTTGCCAGAGAAAAAAGGAAAAAATAAACCGTTTCTAGCTTGAAGTTTCCACCTTTATGAAGAGAGAGATAAAATCTAAGGAGATAATACAGAGAATTGCCTAACAACTGATGCCTGCTCAACTGGTGCTAAGAAAAAACTCAGAAGCAGTTAATTGAGGGTGAGATAAGGAAAGGGTTTAATTGTGCCAAGGCAAAAGATGTTACATGACGCACGCGCGCGCAGGCTGTGCCTGAGATGTTACATTTTATAACAATATCTGTCCAATCCCAAGTGTGTCCACCCTGTTACTTTTGCCCTGATCCACCCCCTGGCCCACCCCCTGGGAATTGGGGCTGGGGGCTTTGAGACCCTCTCTTCATCAATCCTCATCTTCTTCAGGGCACAGAGGGTACAGAGTCACCTAGTTCTTGACTGTTCTGCGGTTTAGGTCAAGATACAAGCATTCTCTAAACAGAACAGGCCTTGCCTTGACAAGAGACTAAACATTACTGGATTCGGGGGTAGGAGCGATATAGGGTACATGGAATGGAGTAAGAGGGTTAAGGAATGTGTAAACGAAGGGTGCTACAGGGTAGAGGGATAAGGGCTGCTGCTTTTAAAATCTACTTCTACTACTTATAAAACTTATAAGGGTTACAAATATTAGAAAAATAAAAAACCATTAGGGGCTTAAGGCATCACAACCTTTTAATTTTAAACTGTTGCTTAGTAAGTGAGTAGAAGAAATCAAAATCTTTTCTACCTTTTATAGCAACAAGCAAGAAACAAAACTATATAAACTTAATTTTTCTATTCTCTTCTCCGTAAAGCATATGCCAAAAAGACTGAGAGGTAGAAATTGTTTCTTAGTCAATTTTTTAATGCAAATTGCTGCTGAAAACCAGAAAACATTCTAAAAAACTCTAATACTTTCAGAACTATGAAGTTTTCTAAGAGAAACAAAAAAGTACAAATATTCTTTCACCCAAAAGTATTTTACTAGAAAAGATAATAGCACCAATAAAAAACTCAAAAATAAAACACAACTGATTATTAATTACAGCCTTGCATTGATTTGTTTAGGTTTATTATATTTAAGAATTCAAAAAACAAATTCTACGTTGCTCAGATTCTATAAAATACGAATATGAACAATTTTAAAGGTATCTAAAATTGACTTGAACTGCATCTGTTCTAGTCTCTGTGTTAAGCAACAGAAGTGTGTCCCTGTTATCGAGTAACAACCCTAGACCAAAGCTACTGCTACTTTCCCAAGAAGCATCCCTAATCCCCTGGCATGCTCCTATGGGCGGAATCCTGGTTTAAAGCAACCTGAAAGCTAGATAACACTGCTTATATCTGGGGGGACGTGATTGTTCTCCAGTTTCATTCTTTTGCATCCAGAGAGACAGAATTCTGCCCTATAAATTACTGTGAATCCTTACATTAGAAATGACAAATACGTTGCCTGTGTCTAGTGATTTAATTGACCTTCATGACAACCAAAGCATGCCTCCTCCAGAACTAAACATCAGCAACTCATGTCCAACTAATCTTCCTAATGTAAAAAGAGAGCTCACAGACTGAGAAGCAAGAGCGTTAGTTAAAGAGAAACAAAAGAAAGACAACCACAACTTGAATGAACGAAGAAGAAGATTTAGTATTAATAATCATTTAAAAGAACTTTGATACTCAATGACCCAAATATATGCTGGGATAAGACAACGATCCTAAAAGCCTCAGTGGATTACATCCGTAAACTGCAAAGAGACCTGCAGTGCACCAAAAAGCTAGAAAACAACCTGAAGAAACTAGAACATGCCAACAACCACCTGCTGCTCAGAATACAGAAACTTGAGATGCAAACTCAAGCATATGGACCATCCCTTGTTCCATCTACAAACCTTTACTCCCCTGATATGATCAACACAGTCATCAAACAAGAGCCTGTGCTGGACAACTACACCCAAAACATGATGCCACACCACTCAAACCTGTCCTGCACCACCACCACCCTCGACCTCACTGACAGCACCGTCACCTTCAGTGACAACCTCGGGAATGTAACTGAACCAACTGGCACTTACAGTGTTCCTGTGAAAATGAGATCCAGACTAGAAGATATCCTAATGAACGACCAATATTAGAAATACTGTTCAAATCCCAAGTTGTGTGTGAAAAATAAAAGAGATAAAAATATATTTTATCCAATCATACAAATGGACTCTTATCCATAGAGTCAACACAAAATGAAAATAGCCCTAACCAAAGAGAAATAGAAGGCTCCTTAAACATTTTTAATTCAATATTACTAGATCACCCTTACTGTAAAAATCCTCTCGAAAAACCTTCACCAGAAAGCACAGGACTGAAATCAGGAACTCACAAGGGAGACAAAAGGAACAGTCAGAAAACTTCTCGGGTAACTGATGAGCAATTAGCAACGTGGTTTTATAAATTCCTAGATGAAGTTATAAAGAAATATGGCAGTTTAATACCACTGTGAAAAAGATGTTCTGGAGAGATTGAAAGAAGTCTAATGAAGATTTCTCCCATAGAAAACCTTTTATCACCAGAGAAATCATGAAATATCAAGAAAAACATCCAAAACCCTCCACTTACAATTTCCAAGTCTCCTATAATAAACACATACTGGATATGGATGATTTAACTACACTGGAAGGCCAAAACTGGCTGAATGACCAAATAATTAACATGTATGGTGAACTCATAATGGATGCAGTTCCTGAAAAAGTTCATTTCTTTAACAGTTTTTTTCATGAACAGCTCGCAACCAAAGGATATAATGGGGTAAAACGATGGACTAAAAAGGTAGACTTATTAAAAAAACTCTCTTATTAATTCCTATTCACCTGGACGTCCACTGGTCCCTCATTGCTGTGAACATCCCCAGTCAAATTATTTCATTTTATAATTCCCAAGGCGTTCATTTTCAGTTTTGTGTGGAGAACATTCAACAGTATTTGCTGACTGAAGCAAAAGACAAGAATCACCCTGAGATCCTTCAAGGTTGGCAGACTGCTGTGACAAAGTGCATTCCACAACAGAAAAATGACAGTGATTGTGGAGTTTTTGTGCTCCAGTACTGCAAGTGCCTCGCCTTAGACCAGCCTTTTCAGTTCTCCCAAGAAGATATGCCCCGAGTGAGAAAAAGAATTTACAGGGAGCTGTGTGAACACCAGCTAATAGACTAATAAAATGCAACCAACTTAATTTATCTGGTATTTCTGACAAGTTGCAGCTAGTGTTTGTGTACTTGAATTTCTGAAAATTTCCAAAATTTTGAGCAATTCTCAGCTGAATGGTGTGACCTCAATTTTTTGATAAATTCTTTAACTGGCAGAACATAACAAAGCTACTGTCAATTTAGTTCTCTTATGTTCTCAGCGTTCATATAGACAAAGCATACAACTAAAGCCATAAAACTGTAAATTTAGTGCACCTTTGAGATATAGCTAGAAATGACAAATACGGGTGAATTTCTCTGAAAACATAAAGATGCATGGTGTGTTTTCTGATGCAATACTACTTTGAATGATAACTGATAATAGTCATAGCAATAGAATTTAAGTTATGAACCAACTTAAGTGCATTTCAGTCAGAAATTAAAAGTGTAACGGACATTACTTTTTTATGTTCTTTAAACTCAAATAACATTGTTTTTACAAATATGTTTCTACCTCACTCATAGAACAAGTTATTATCAGAAAAACATTTTACACATGAAATGAACATTTTTAAATACAAAAAAAAAAGGGGAAAAAAACTATATATGCGCATAAACAAATGCTATCTCAGAATAGATCTCACTTTGTTTGTTAGGCCTTATAATAATTCCTCTTCAAACCAGGTACAGTTGTTAAATGTGACTACCAAAAATGACAAACTGGAAAGTACATAGCCAATAACTACCTGAAAGTTAAAATGTGTAATTGAAATGTGGAAGTATAATGGAAATTCCGGTTGTGTGTGAGTGAAGAATGACTGAGGGGGCCACCAATGACTGACTGGAAATAGACAGTATGAGAGAAAGAGACTATATAGATATATATGTGTGCAAACTTGGTGAAATGTTGTTATTCATCCTTATTACAGGATGCGGCATGTCTTCTTAACTTTGAATCAGGAGTTGTCAATGCTGATGCCTTGCTTGATCAGCCTGTTGCAAGGGGCCTATCAAGGCCATCTTTGTGGCATAAATACAAAAAAAGGGGGAATTGTCGGGGTTAACAACAGGTTTGTCGAAAGGAAGTAAGAAGATGGAAGACAGGAAGTAGAAAAACAGACTTCCTGGACTTTCTGCAAGTCACCGTGACTCTGCTCGAACCAGATCATCATGACTCGGCAAAAGCTGTATAAGCATGACTTTGCTATTTTGCAACCAATCCTGATGTATGTATACATGAGAGTAGCAATAGTAGATTGACATGTGTATGGCCTGATGTATGTTTACATGAAGGCACCAACAGTAAGTTGACATGTGTGTTGTGTAAAAAGTATAAATGTCTGCAACCTGTTGCAATAAAAATCTTCCAACCTTTTTGCTATCCTGTCCCTACTTTGGAAGAAGATTCTATGTTGCTTTGACCGTCTCAACAGCGACATATGAGAGCCTTACAAGAAAAATATCTTAGTTCAGTAACAAGCATTGTCATGTATATTTGATGCTTTTTGACACATGGAAAGTGAGGTTTAGGACATACTACAGGACAACTGTAGGTTTTCCACAGTACAATGTTTCTCCTCTGATGTTTAAAAAACAAACAAACAAAACCTATTGTTTTCCTCCCTTTGCAGCAGCACAGTTTCTCTTTGCTGATAATCGTGTGTCTAGGAAGTGACAGGGTGGGACAGTAAGAGCAGCCCTCAAATTTGGTCAAAAACAGCCTGGGCAAGGATAGGGAAGGGTCGGGTAAAAGCAGTAAATAGAAAAAAAAACAGAGAGAATGACTCTTTCATACACATTGATATCATGTGCACTTCTTCACAGCAACATGACATTTCCTTTTGTAACTAATGCTTTTTTGCAGATGATAATGTCCTAGTTAGAACAACTGGGACCAATTCATCACTGGATGGGTGTAGCCCAAAACTGTGTATTCTATAGCCTTCCATGCCATTTCCCAGAAACTGTTGTCAGTAGAGGTCTGCGAGGTAGGAAGATGTTCCTGTCCTCATACCCTTTTATGGAATTCCCCGCTCTGATACCCTTTTATGGAATTCCCCTCTCTGAGAGAGGGACTGAGCATGCTCATGCCCTTTTATGGAATTCCCTGCTCTGAGGGAGGGACTGAGCACTCCCGCCTGAACTGGAGAATATATAAACTGGGAGTTTCGGAACCTTGGCACCTCTCGTGGGATCCAGAGGAAGACTGCAGACCACCGCTCTCAACCAGACTGCAGCTCACCGCTTTCAACCAGACTGAGACCACCACCCTCAAATGAACTGCAATCACCACTTTTGACCAGACTGCAACAGCTCTCCCACCAGCAGTTTTTTTTTTTCCCCTCTCCCTTTACTTTGGACTCGGGGGGGGGCCAAGGAACACCACTTTTGTTCATGCCCCAGGGTGCTGGGTTATACATTTGGGTTTTGTGGGTTAAAACCAATTGTTTGTCTGTATAATCGTACTTATTGTATTATTTTATTAAATTGTTATTCTGACTTATAATCTCTCTTTTGAGTTGAGTTCATTTCCCCTGCTGGTTAGCTTTTAAACCAGCACAATAAGTCAGCTCAATGTAACAATAAGACAGTTCTTACGATAACAGTTCAAAGCACTAGTTTCATGTATGGTAACACCACCTGAACAACATCTTATTCCATAACTGTAAGATCTGAGCTGCTCCCAAAGGCTGTGCTCTTAGATTCAGGTAATGGGATAACACTTATGTTTCTATCTGTTGAGACTTTGCCGAAAACCATCTGCTTAAACATCTTTTCTTCTGCTCAGGCAGTTAGTAAACAATTCCAAAAGGTTAAGAGCATCATGGGCTCAATGCTGTCAGACTTGTCATATCTTCTCTGAAAACAAATGACTTCACTTCTAATTCCCCTTTAAGCCGAAAAAAACAATAACATACCTGACAACTTCAGCTGAACTGAAGCAAATCAAATATGCACAACACATACCATGTTTTTCATGACAATTAATCTAGATCTGTGATTTACCAGTACAATTCCCTGCACCACTAAGTATCATGGATTTGGACACACAGGGTGGGAGAGGGAGTGGTAAAAGACTGTCTAATTTATGTGCCTGCACTTGGGCAGGATCAAGTATGCTTATACTGCCCCAGGAGGCACTTGGCTAACCTGATAAAGCACCTACTCACTAGCAGGAAGCAGGAATGAGAATGAAGTTACAGATTTGTGTAACTTCACAGTTACACAAACATTGCTAAACTGTGTGGCAGTTTAGCAATGAGATCAAAAGAGGAGCAAAATAGTTTCTGAGCTACATCTTGAGAGTCAAATGAACTCCTTTCACTAGTCCTTGCACGTACCCTTGTTTGCTAGCTCTGGCACTCACAGAATTGCTTCCTTAAAATAAATAAATAAATAAATAGTATTAGCATCTTCATTCTTGCAGTTTTTATAGTGAATGCTAGAAGAGGCATCTTTTACTTCCTCACTAGGGCCAGTCTGCAAATAAACACTGTATTTGAGATAGCTTGGGGATTTAAAACTGGAATCTGTCAAAACCCAGCAGATGTAATGAATTCCCAGGGAGCCCACATAAACCTATGACTCCAAACAAGAAAAACTGAACAAGTCAATACAAGATTGTGGTGGGTTGACCATGACTGTCTACCAGGTGCCCATCAAACCACTCTATCACTCCCTGTCTCAGTTTAATGAGACTGAAGCGTTTTGGTAAGGAGGAAGACCAAACTCCTCCCTCTAAGCAATTGTAAATCCAAAATTAAGAGGCTCCAATTGAGGAAGTATGGAGAAAGAAAAAATAACAGCCCTTTATTAAAGGATATATGTGCATTGGCAGAACAACAAAAGAACAAAAAAACAAACAATAATCCTGTACCCAAAAATCCCCTTCAAAAGAAACAGTTTGGTACTTTTCCACCTTTTGGCGCAATTCTAACCACGGTCAGGAGGGGGCACTGTTGGATTTCTGGAGGAGCAGAGCCTGCAGTTGCTCTATGGTGGTCAGCAGAGGGCGCTGCTGGGCTCTGGCAGTTGCTGCATGGGGCCTCAGTGCACGGGAGAAGCCGACAATGGAGATTTTCCCCCCCCATACCAAGAAGGGGAAGGGGGAAAGGGGAAAAAGGGGTTCTTCCCATGAAAACTCATGCTGTTTGCGGCTGGCTGTGGCTGGGATTTCCCCCTTTTCGTCACTGGGCATAAACTGCTGTCAAATACAGGAGCGGAGGACGGAAAGGGCAACCCCCTCCCCAAAAAGTTACTCTGCAGATGGGTCAAACCTCTCTGATGAAATCCAAGCAGATCTGGGCTGGGGGCAGAACAGGGTGCAGGCAAGTTGGGGCCAGAAAACAGACAGATGACTAGGCCGAGAAAAAAACAACCTCAGAGCCTTTCCAACGCACACCTTGCCTGAGTTAAGGTAAAAGTGAAGTGTCCCCATTTCCGAGGAGAGAAGAAAAAAAACTCATCACCCCTCCCCACAGTCTTAGAGAGGGTCATCAGCTTGGAATGAAGGCCTGCTAGTTAGTTCTTTTGTGTAGATCAATCACCCAAGGCAAACCACCCTTCCCCATTCAACATCTTTCTTTTACAGTGAGGCATGGGAAAGAAAAATTGGTTTTTTAGAACTAGTAAACCTATGACATTATCCACCCCTAATTTTCCTTTCCCATGATACCACACTCTATCAAATTAAACCTTTGAACTTCATACGTACATGCATTATTCTAACTACATACACATTCACAAATATGTAGATACAAATACAGATAAGGGTACAAAGTTATGACCAGTTCACCCCAAGATAAGATCCCCTTGAGGTATACGCCAGGTTTCTCCATCTTCCTGCATCACCCACTAGGTGCAACCAGGTCCTTGGGCAAAAGCAATCCCACAGATGGGTTTGCCTTTGCTAGAGGCAGGGTTAATCCAAACTATTTCACCTAACATACCTCTCATGTGAATCACTGGGACTTTGTCCCCATCTACTGTGTGAAGGGACTCTGATTGGGAAGGGCCGGCTTGATTAACGG